GAGACCTGCTGGGCAGGTAGTTTGCTCATCTCCTGGGGCCTCACTGCCAGGCCACAGGCTCTGCTCCTGAACTGGCCTGCTCTGCCACACACACTTCCCCCTTCGGCCCAGCTCATCACAATTGTAAATAATATATTAAATACTGTGGGTCTTGAAAAAGGGAAGAACTCATGTACAGATTATTTTCAAAAGCCATCATTTCCCATTTGAGATTACAGAGTGAACTTCATTGAATGTCCTCCTGTGATTCCCCCGTTCTCTAGGTAATATTCCTTCAGCATTTGACTGTTCAAGACATACTAGATCCTACAAAGGTGAGCAGAGGGCAGGGGCTGCCGGAGCATCCATCCGTCTTTTCCTTCTCCTTTCACGTTGGTTCATGGGCTTTCTAAGCAGCTTGGGTCTCCCTTTTCCTCTTTCTCTTGTCCTTGGGAACAACCTGATATCCAACAATAGATCAATGGTTAGATAATAGGGATACTCTGAACAAATGGGGAGACATTCCATGTTCTTAAGTGGGATAACATTATAAACATGTTGATTCTACTAGAAAATAGGGAAATATAAGTTAAAATGAGATGGTTTTGTATCTATTATCCTGGCAAAAAGAGAAAGCTGGGGAATAGTGCAGGGGTGGTGGTGGGGTATAGGAACTGCATGCACTGCTTCTGGGTACAGACTGGAGTAGCCATTAGCAATAATTAGTCACATTAAATTCATGATCCACGAATTCTGTTGAGGGCATATACCCAAGAAAGTTTCACATTTCCAGAATGCTATTCAGTGCAGCACTATTTATGGAGAGGGGAATTCCAACTTGAGTGTTCATCACTAGGAAAACGGACAGGTAGAATGTGGAAGACACCCTCCATGGGGTATAAGAGTAGCTAGTAGCAATGGGTTCAGTATGGCTATAGCAGCGTAATGGAATCTCAAACACACAGTGTTGGGGGAAGCCATTGAGGGGATGTGACCGCCAGTTGACCCACAAGCTGCACCCTGACAACTGGAGGAGCCTCACCCCCCTCCCGTCCTTAGAATGTATACTCTGCCCAGTGGTCCCACAGTGGGAGCCATGTTCAAGGACACAGCCTGAGAAAGGAAGGTGTTGTTGAGACCATCTAGGCCAGGGGTGGGCAAACTTTTTGACTCGAGGGCCACAATGGGTTCTTAAACTGGACCGGAGGGCCAGAACAAAAGCATGGATGGAGTGTTTGTGTGAACTAATATAAATTCAAAGTAAACATCATTACATAAAAGGGTACGGTCTTTTTTATCAATAGTTTTATTCATTTCAAACGGGCCGGATAAGGCCCGCGGGCCGTAGTTTGCCCACGGCTGATCTAGGCACTATGTATGACTGAACCCAATTAAGGCCTCTATATAAACTTTTAACATTCTGGCAGGCGGGTGAGAAGATCTACTCTCATGTGGCCACCCAAGACCAGACTTGTTTGTACGTTCTCTTGCTTATTAAAACTGCTACCTACCAGGCTGGAGTGGTCTGCCTCGTCCTTTGGTCTCTCCTTGGCCTCCGAGTACGGGGGCCAGTTTGCAAACCAACATACAGGGCTTGATGGAAAAACAAACCCAAAATGGCATGTTAACATGAATAGTTCTGTAAATTAAAGTACATGCACACAAAATAACACCTATTTTGTAAGAACACAGAAAGATCATCCATGTAACATGGTTGCCTATGGAGTGGGAGGAGGAGATGGGAGGGAGAGTAGGGATCAATTAAATGAACCTTGGTATAAGCCAAGGTCAATGTGCCAGGAACTGTGGAGTAAGATGACCTCAATCATTTGCCCCTGAGGTTCTCTGCTGCATGTGTGCACATGAAAAACACCAATATGGCACACCCATAAAATGAAATGCCATACAGCCATTGCATGTAATATTGCAGGCCTGTATTTATAGAAATTGAAATACAGTTGTGATTTAATACTAAGCAAAAGAGAAGGTTACCAAACACGCCATCTATTATTTCATTTTTTTGGAAAAATCTCTGTAAGTGGGGGAATGACAAGGCTGATGGGATTTCAGTGATTCAAACGTTTTCCTTCTTGCTTTTCTGTATTGCTAATTTGACTTCAATACCTATGCACCATGCAATAAAGAGGAAATAAGAGGTTTTCTCTTAAAGACTATTTTTTATATATTTTTATTGATTTCAGAGAGGAAGGAAGAGGGAGAGACAGAAACATCGATGAGAGAGAATCACTGACTGGCTGCCTCCCGCATGCCCCCCGCTGGGGATTGAACCTGCAACCCGGGCATGTGCCCTTGACCAGAATCGAACCTGGGACCCTTTAGTCCACAGGCCGACGCTCTATCCACTGAGCAAAACCAGCCAGGGCTTAAGACAATTTTTGCTTTTACAGAAGTACAATAATAAAGAGGTCCCTGGCTATGAGAATTTACTGGTACTAAAAGGTGACTTCTTCCTAAGGCTTTGTTTTCCAATGTACACAGACCCCAGTTTTAGGGGTTGCTCTTTCCTTTTCCTCGAGGAGAGGGAGCCCCACTTATTCTAAGGCTGTCCACTTGAACGGTCCAGAGAGCTGGGACTCGCATTACGGATGGCACTGCACTGATGGACGTGGATGGGTGTCCACATGAACTGCCCTTCGTCCCAACAGGAGTAAATCTGTTTCCAGCCCAGGAAAGCCACTTCTGCACAGCAGTTTACACAGTATGTGTGTGTTCTGAAGGGACAGGTTCCAGGCAAAGATTTAGCCAGGTCAGGGCTGGCGGCCCTGGTGAAGCCAGCCTGACAGGAAGAGTTGGAAGCCGCAGCTGCCGGCTTCAGGCCATGCAGACTCTTCGTCCTTCGCCTCCCGGCTGCTGACAGCCATCTCCAGGCAGCGCTTAATGAAATCTGTTCAAGGCTTTCAGCTTTACAATTAATCAACTTTTTGTAAAGCTGTGTGGGGCAACAAAGAGTAACCAAATGCAACAGATCTTTCTCTTCCCACACCTGAGCAGCCTTGACTGGCATGTAAGGGAGCGTTCAGGGAACTGCAGTCTTGGGAGCAAATCCCCTTTTGGAAGTGCTTGCCTGCATCCACGTATCGGAATTGACAGCCTGCCACCAGCCCGTGCCGTGAGGAAACGCCGCTCTTGTCTTTCGGAACATGCGGTGCTGGGATCCGTGAGATGTCTTCCTCTGAGGGCTGGTGCTGATGACTCCAGGCTAGATAGAGTTGAAGGGCCATAGAACTTGGACCTGGGCCACACTGACTGACATTCAAACAGCAATGAAACTGAGATTCAACAAAGCTGTGGTCATAATATAGAAGATGTGTTCAGTATTAACTGGGGTTAGAGGCACAAAATGACTGCATGGAGGAATGAATTAAAAAGGGGGGAGGAAATGAAAGGACATCTATAATAGTGTCAACAATTAAAAAAACATATGGCAGGAGGGAAGTTAAATTTGAGAACTGTCTTACCACTAAGTTCCTTAATAGCAGGTCTATACTGAAGGAAGCATATTTCTGCAGTTAATACAGCGACACTTTTTTATGTTACATTTGTGAACTGAAAATCCTAGATGGGAAATTGCCTACTGATTAATTTAGAATTAATAAAGGAGCCTATTACCTAGAACGAATAGCTTCTTTGGCTCATGATTTCCCACCAATCATCACATTGGTAATTTTGCCCCAAAAATTCAGTTGCTGAATTTTTTAGCATGTAAAAAAGATGGAGTGGCATACCTCATTCCCAGAGGATCTGAATTAAATTACATGACATCTGGTAATGCTTATAAAGGTCAAGAGCTTTCGGACCAGAAAAAAATCTAGATTCTAACCCAACCTCTTTACAGGCTGTACGTTAAGAAATTATATAGCCTGTCTGGGTCTGTTTCCTCACCTGTAAAATGGAGTGCCACCACCATCTGGCCTGAGGATTGTGTTTGGGCTCAAATGAGATGGTTAATGAAAAGCATCTATCTTGCCGAGGACTAAGCACATATATATTATTTTGCCCAGGACTAAGCACATATATATTAGACATTATATGTGTGTGTATATATGTATGTGTGTGTGTGTGTGTGTGTGTATATATATATAATGTCTAACATATCCTATGTAATAAAGACAGAATATGCAAATTGACTGTCACTTCACAAGAAAGATGGCAGTGCCCACAGCCAATAAGGAGGGAATATGCAAATTAATGCAACAAAGATGGCAGCGGCCAGCCTGGAATGAAGGCAGGAGGCGGCAGCCAGAGCAAAAGCCTGGGTCCTGGGTGCCGGAGGGAAACCGGTGCCAGCAGCCAGGGGAAGGAAGGCCTATTCTTGCACGAATCTTTGTGCAACGGGCCTCTTGTAATATATATAATTCTACCATCTATCTATTTATTATAGGTAGACAATAAGTGTTGGGTTGTTTCTTTCCTTCCTTATGGCTTCAATGGTTTTTAATTATGAGGAGACAGGAGGGAAGAAAAGGAAAGATGAGAGGACAGATGGTGATTGATGGAGCAAGGTTCTGGGAGACTCATGGGAGGTGGTGTCACTGAGAAAGGACAACTTTTCCTGAGACCATAGGGAGATGGTGAGTGTGGCAGCTGAAAAGTTTTGCAGGCAAGGAAGAAGGTTGTTAGAAAACAGGCAGGAGTTAAAGGAGACTTAATCTTGCAGAATGAATGGAACATGTTTGTGTAAGTTAAAAAAAAAATTGGCAAACCTTTCCGCTCAGCAGAGCAATTTGCAAAAACCCATGATTTCCATAATATAGTTATATTCACTAACATTTTAGAGATAGTATGTATGTGTGTCTATGCAAAAAAACCACACCTTATTAGCCATTATCTTTTCATGCTAAATTTTTATTTCAATGTTATGCGTCCGCATAAGTATAAATATTTCAATATACAACAATTAGGACATCCATAGGGAATTTCTTAGAGAAAATAAGACTGCAAACACTTTATTGCACAGATCCTAACAAACGTTAAGCTGGTAAATCTATCGTTGGGAGCACTACTGAGGGGCACGTCTTACAATCACAGGAGATGGACCAGAGGGAACACAGGAGGGTTTCTACCAGCTGACCGGAGAGGTTACCAACAACAGACAGTTATCACGTGAACGCAACCTTAGTACTCTTTACTCATCCAAAATGCAAAAACGTATTTGGCAAAAATGATAATATACTATACAAAATATACATAGATATGTCGTTTGTAAACAAGCACCTAGCTGTGCTTTAAAGGAAACTGGACAGTTAAGAAGCAACGGCTGTAAACCATAAACTGCCTCCCCGAAAGCCCTGTCTTGATGTCTGACTGCAGAAGCCTTGGGTTATGACAACCAACAAACACAGATATGAATTATAAATGTTGAGACCACTTTTGAAACGCACGTAAGTTCTTATAAAATATTTGTTTCTTCTACAACTGATGGGGAATGGCTAAAACTACGTGGGAAAAGATAGGGGCAAAGAGACTTTTCCTACTCTTTTTTTTTTTTTGTTTGCCTTTTGTCATTGCCAACTCATTTTACAGTGAAAGACAACCAAGTTAGTTAAATTATGCCTTTGTTTTTGGAGTGGAGTTTACGGCCCTGATAAGTGATTTACAATCCACAGGGCCATAGGATGATGCTGTGCTTAGATGAAGAATTTTATAGCCTAAAGATACTAAGACACCCCCGAGGGGGGTGTGGGTGCTGAGTTAGTATTCATTGGTAATTTTTTTTTCCTCTTACAAAAACAAAACAAACATTCCTGTTATAGATCCCAAGCATCTTATAAATACTTATCTGTGTGTATTTTCTCTTAGTACTTAGTGCCTTAGTACTTATGTCAGCAAGCGACATCTTACAATACAATACAAACCACCAGGAAAACGGCAACGGAAAACAAACAGAAAAACCCCTTCAGCACTAAAATGATTGGACAACTTCTACATATTCCATGGTATACAAAATTTAAATAAGGCTTAGCAAAAGTAAAAAGGACAGTCACATTCAAGCACCAAAATAGCTCCAACAGGTCTTTTTGTTACACAAATGCTGCTCTTTATTAATACAGTCTCTTTTTTTTTGCATACAAATAAAGAGATCGTGTTATGAAATGTATGGAGCTACTCGATGCGTCCGAAATGAATGTGAAACCCAGGAACTTGCTAAAAACAGCAAGCTTCATCTACAACATAAGGCCCCAGCTATGTATTAAAAGGTATCTTGATGTCCTGATTAATTCTTAATATATATGCTGTGATGCCAAAATCTACCCCCACCCCCTTTCCCGTCCAAAAGCAAATTTAAAACCTCTTCCAATGCCTGGTGCTCAACCGAGTAAAACTCAACCTAAGTCCTGGCAGAGTTGCGTGCAGCCAGTAATGTTCCTTTTCGTCTGAGAGCAGAGCTGGTGCAGGACTACAAAACGTGTGCTTCTTAGACTAGCGACTCACAGCAGAAAGGCCTGAGTTTAAGAGCATGAGCAGGAGAAAATGCAGGAGAACAGACATCAAGATCATGTGTGTTTATAGACCCCGCACCCCCCGGGGTGAAGACCCGACACACAGCCACGGACGAGGGCGGCTGGCCTTCAGACAGGCGGACCCGGGCGCGAAATGCCCACTAGGTAGGATGACCGTGAAACGCACGTGGCTACCTCCACGGTCTGGCCCTTCCTGATGGAGGAGGGATCTAAATGCAGCAATTTAGAGAACCTCTTGCTTTGGATCTGGAAACACGGGCAGCCAGATACAGTCCTATCAACATCTCTGGTTACAAATGCACATAAAAACTCACAAGCTACGGTGGGTAGGGCTTTCTTGCATCTTTACCTCTACTTAGGGTGTTTGAACTTAGGAACATGTAGTCTTGAAACAGTCTCTCAAACCACAGACAAACACATGTGGTGGATGCGTGTATATACACGAACACGGGTGGATCTCTACTTTCACATACATCGGTTTTAACCCTTTGCTTCATTACTACATCATGGTAAGTGGTAAAGCAAAAATCTTCTTTTTCCTTTTTTTTAAAAGAAAAGCTGTCATAAATGACACAATCAGCAGCAAGGTACAGACTCTACATCCCAAACCCAACACATGGCCAGATATTTACAGAGAAAATCCTTTCCCCAACAACCCTGGGCTGTGAAGGTGTTTCTTGTTTCTTGTACAAACACTATCTGGTAACAGCTATTCCGGTGACCACGGGGCAGGCATTGGAAGGAGGCCCCTTTTTTTCCACCTTCTCTCCCTCTCCCCTCCTTCGGCGAGACTCCAGGCTCGGCCTGCGATGCTCCCACAGTGCTGGTTTCGAAAGGTAGTCAGGACTCAGTGACACGTTCCGGGCGGGTCCCCCAGGGCCTGCCCCCTTAGGAGGCCTTTTTGTGAGGGCTGCTCCGCAAACCCTCTTTCCCCCGCCTCTGCCGGACCACAGAGTCCTTCTCGGAACAAAGGGCGACAGGGCGGTCTGTGCCGGGTGCGGGCGACGGCTTGGTCAGCTCTCTGCCCGCGTTCTGTTTCCTGGTCTGAGGCTGGGCCGGGGCAGGCTCTCTCTCTTTGGTTTCTCCTGGGGGGGCAGTTACTGAGAGGGCCCTGTCCCGGGGCCCGGCGCCCCACGCCATGGTTGGGTTGGGGTGCTGTAACTCCACCGTGATGGAGGAGCTCCTGAAGGAGGGCAGGGAGTCGCTCTTTGTCATGTGGCTCCCGCCATCGCCCCCAGAGGGGGGTTTCCTCTGGTCCCTGCTGCTGGGGGCTGTGGGCTCGGCTGTGGCCCCGCTGGCCTTGGCCGAGACGGGGTCGCTGCTGGCCGCGGGGGCAAAAAAACACTTCTCCGGGAGGGCAGTGGGCCGGAAGGAACTCTGCCCGATGGCCGAGGGCGACCGCTTCATGCCGCTGGGCTTGCCTGCCTCGGGCGGCAGCTTCTGGGCACTGAGCCCTCTCCCCTTGGCGTCGGGCAGGGCCTTCCCCGCAGCCCCCGCCGGCCTCTCCGTGCCCCTCAGCCTGGCCTCGCCCTGTGCCAGGGGCAGGCTGGCCTCCAGCTTCGTGCCGTCCGTGGGACCATAAAGTGCTTCCATGCATTTCTTCCCCTCAGACTTCCTGTCTGCGCTGGCGGCCAGGGGACTAGGGCTCTTGTCTGTCTGTCTGCACGGCGGGGGGCCATCTCTCACAGTGGGTGGTTTGGGGTGCTTTGGAGACAGGTTGAGCTTTTCACTGACAGTGGGAAGTTTCTGGTCTACAGACTCGCTGACCCCAGGGTGTCCTTGCCGGGGCGGATACACGGGCCTCTCCAGCGCCTCCGGGGCACGCCCGCCTTCAGTGGGCTTCAGCTTGGTGTCCAGGGGACCCGCTCTGGGGGGCAGTGAGCCTGAGGGCCCACTTCCTCCCTGGCCGATCACATGGCTGGTTGTGTTCTGGGAACCCGGGAGGGCAGGGTACACATTCGACACGCCCTTACTGCTGCCCTTCCCGTCTCGGCTGGGGCCGCTGGGGGAGCTGGGGCCGCTGGGAGGCTGTGTGCCAGGCTCTTTGGCCACCGCAGCCCCCATGCCCAGCCTCTGGGAGGCGAGGGGCCGGTCTGGGTGCTTGGCCTTTGCAGGGCTCGGGTCAGGGGCAGGCCCGGGCTTGTGGCTGCTC